GGAGTGCTCGGCCATTCTACAGAACAAGCTTTTGCCGAAGCAGCAGGACCCAGGTAGATTTACTATCCCGTTCTCTATTTGAAAATTGCATGTAGAGAGGTCCTTGGTTGATCTGGGTGCTAGTATCAATGTTATACCATATAAATTGTTCAAGAAACTACGCCTAGCTGAACCCAGTGCAACTAGGATGAGTATTCAATTAGCTGACCGATCTGTAGTTCATCCTAGGGGCATAGTGGAAGACCTCCTGGTTAAGGTTGGCAGATTCTTTTATCTAGTAGATTTTGTTGTCTTGGACATAAATGAAGACGCATAAGCTCCCCTTATACTAGGAAGGCCTTTCTTGGCCACCGCCAAGGCTCTCATAGATGTGCATTATGGGACCTTAGTCTTGAGAGATGCCGAGGAGCATATAACATTTTCCATTGCTAATAATATGACTGCTATCTTGCCTGTGCATGCTGTCTCTCACCAGGTGCACGAGTCTGTCCTGTATCCTTCTGTGCCTCCCATTTTGTAGGATTCTCCTCTCATTCCTTCGCCGCCACTCCCGTCCGTCTCGTTACCAAAAGTAAAGATCAAGGAGGAGTGGCTTCCGAAACTGCAGGTAGCTAAGCCTGCTCAAAAGAAAGCCAGAGACCACTATGAGCTGGTCCCGGACCCTAAGCCATGACCGCCCTGGCCATCCGAGTATTCACTCGCTTGCATCCTATCGGATGGTTAGGTCGAGTTGACAAGTGCTGGTGGTCACACCCGTCGTGTGCATGCCTACCATCTGAAGTTGTACCTCAAGAGCGATGTGGATCCTCTCTTGGAGGTACCTGTTCCTACACCGCTCTGAGCATCCACCCTCTGCGTCTAGCTAAAGACGTAAAAGAAGCGCTTGTGGGGAGGCAACCCCACTATGGTTTGTTTTTATTTTGTTTGTTTTTGGTTGTTCCACTTGGAACTATGGTTTCTTTCACCCAGTGTGTTTTGATGACTCTAGCTCTGTGAAATGGTGACCTTCCAGTACACCCCTTCTGACTGGTCCCATTTCCAGTCTTCCGACAGTCCGTTTTCTCGGTAACATTATTCCCCTTATCTTTCCCTCTTCTCCATTGAGGGCAATGTCGTGTTTAAGTCTGGGGGGGTATTTATCTAGCTTTGACTGCATAGATGAGTTTGTGTGCTTGGAGCCTAGTCCACTGTCCAATTTGATGAATTAAGGGTTCCAAGTACTGTTCCCTGCAATATTCTGCTCAGTATGCTTCGAATCGACAGTCTTTATGGTGATTTGCAACCTAGGTAGGTAGTTGTAGCACTATGGAGGATGTTGAAGTATAAGAATTTTCCTATCTGTCTCTCTGTTATGCCGGTTGATTTTGTGAACTAGTGGATTTAGGACCGTTGATTCATGTGGTATTGAGGACTCCTCTTATGTTGTGTTGTGGACTCGTGTATCGAAAAAGAGTGCTCAAGTGTGAAATGAAAAAGTAGTTGGTCCTCCGTCAAAATTTTGAGATTTTAAGACATGGGGTAAGCCCAACGTGTGTGGCACCGTTCATTGCACAAAATCGAGTTTTGGAAGAGATTTTAGTGATCCTTAGTGGGATGTACCCCTACAAGGTGAAGCTAAGCCGTCTCTAGTAAAAGTAAAATTTCCACTCGTTGAACGGTTTGCCTACTTGAGGATGTGTTTTTAAGGACACAGATAGAGCTTCCGACGCCCCTTAATTTCATTGACCCTCCACACGAAGTGAGGAAAATGAGTTAAAAAATTACTCTGCCGAGCGACGGATATGCAGAAATTGCTCTTACGCACCTAATAAGGGCCGACTGCGCATAAAAACTGCAGTTGGAACCCCAGTAAAGTAAAGGAAAAGGATAAGGAAAGAAAAAGAAAGAGAATGAATGATACAAAAAGGGGGTTCCAACAAGTGAGATGAAATGAAAGAGCACCCGATACAAAGAGTCCTTGGTTGTTAAATTGTGTGAGTCTCCTTATCCATGAATTGGCTGTCTTAGTCCCACCGTCATGATCCTGGTTTGAGTCTAGTACTCGCATTGAAAGAGATAGCGGACATCTTAGAAGACCAGTTGACCTCGTAAGTTGCTAAATGATCTAGAAAATCCTCTGCCGACGATAGGGGTTGCATGTTGCTGTAAAGGTCTGGAGAGCTGCATTGGTTTGAGTCAGGTATGCTTGGGGACAAGCAAACGGTTAAGTGTGGGGGAATTCGATGACTCGATATTTACACATGTTTTTGTCCACCATTCTTATACTGTTTGAGCGTCATTTCTGGTGTTTTAAACCGATTTGACGCTGGGTTGTTCTTGTTTGTGATTTTTCAGGTCCTAGTACGTGAATGAAGGTTTGGGCACGAGTTTGGGGTCGATTGGATGAAGATGGGATGTTTGACGAAAAGCTGAGGAATCCACACGGCCTAACCAGACACCCACATGGCCGTGTGGCTTGGCCATGTGGAACTCCCTTGCACGGGCAAAGTCACATGGGCCGTGTAAGGGGCACTTTTGCCCATGTGGGATTCCCAGAGGCTTCACACGGGCTAGCTGAAATTCGACACAGCCGTGTCGTTTTGGTTGTGTGTCGTACTTGGAGTCACTAAATCGAACGCGGCGATATGAAGAGTTACACAAGCAACTGGGGATTTCACACGGCCGTGTGGTCTGGCCGTGTGATCGGGCTGAACAGGGGTTTTAACCCAATTTCGGGTCTTTGAAGTGGGAGATGAATTTTCATAGCAAAAATAGAGTCCTAGTTAGAGAAAGTGCGAAGAACAAACCCTATGATTGATTCTGGAGCTGGGTTTCATCAATCAAGCTTGGATTTGGTCCTTGGAGTGAATATTATCATCCCAGATCAGATTCTTCCCATCGTTATGAGTATGACTGCTTTGAAATCTGTTTCCCTCCCTCTCTATGGAGCAGACCCTTCTCTCACTTGGGTATTAAGAACCCTAGTTCCATGTGTTAGGGATCTTGATTGTAATGACTTTTGGATTGAGATATTGATTGATTATAATCGATTGAAGTGTGTTTATTGAGTCGATTGGATCCTGATCAAATTCTCTTGATTTTCTGCTGGAACCTGAGAGAGATAGAATATGATTAGGTTGTTAGAGCTTCTTTAATTGATAGGAGTGGATTGATTATATGAGAGTTAGTCAATTCATTGCTTTGTACTGGAATCCAATTCCGGTAGTGGAGTTCTGTGTTAATTGCCTTAGTGTTCTATCCCAGTGAAGATTAGTCGCCTGTCGGGTAGTCTGTTTGAGAGGGCTTGGTCAGCTTAAGAGATTCCAAGCTACTATCGGATCTTCCGCATTTTAATCAACAGTAATCAACCCAAAGGAATTTACAACTTGAACTTAAATAATGGGCAAGTGGGACTCACTCCCGAGTGACTCTTCTCTTGCTTTAGAAAATCGAACACTTTCCTGCTTTCTTACTGCTTTTGGTTACAATCACATTCACTAAATCTTTCCTGCTAGATAATAGATAATCACGGAGTAGGCAGTAGATCTTGACCCAGGGTTGATAAATTAAACTTACCACTATTGTGCATTTCCAGACATCGATTATACTTGGTCGTAGTTTGGTGTTGTGTCTTAGCATGTCAGCCCACTTGTTGTTCGGGGGCACTACCGGCTCCATCTTGCTTTTCTGTCACGGGTGGCTTCTTCTTGAAGGGTAGCTCCACCTCTATGGTTGAGAATTTCTCGGTCTCCTCCCCTATGAATCTCTCAATTTTTTCAAACGTCTTCGAGTTGGAGGCGACAAAGGTGGTTACTAACTCTTCTGAACAAGAGATCCGATCAGTGTGCACAAGGGAGATAGAGTTCAACTGTTCGTAATGAGGCGTTTCTTCGTTCATCACTTGGCACTCGGCTTCCTCATAGCCTGAGCTTGCACCCCAATCATATGGCACTAACAGCTCCTTCTATTGCTTCTTGTTCTCAAGGATCGCCTCAATTAACTTATCAAGCTTCGCTTCAAGTAGAGCACTCGCTCCCATACTTTGCACTCCACGATCGGTGCTTCTCTTCCCACTTCTTGTCGAGCCCCAATTACATCCGTTAAGAGCCATATCTTCGAGCAACTCGGTCACTTGAGGAGGGGTCATGTTCATCAACCTCCCTTGGCAAAGAGATTCAATGAGGATCTCATCTTGAATGAGTCTGATGACTTAATATATACACATGCTTTTATCCACCATTCTTATGTCGTTCGAGCCTCATTTCTCGTATCTTAGGCTGATTTCATGCTAGGTTGTTCTCTTTTGTGTTATCTCAGGTCCTATTACATGATTGAAGGTTTGGGAACGAGTTCGGGGTCGATTGGACGAAGGTTGGACGTTTGGTGAGAAGCTGAAGAAACCACACGGCCGTGTGGCGTGGCCGTGTGGAATTCCATTATGCGGGCAAGACCACACTGGCCGTGTACCGAGTCCCTTGAGGCCGTGTGGAAATCATAAAGATGTCACACGGGCAAGCCAGTTTTCTACATGGCCGTGTAGCTCTGGCCGTGTAGCATTCGTGGAGGCACTTAATCGAAACGCCGCATTTTCGAGTTCACACGGGCAGACTGGGATTCCACACGGCCGTGTGGTCGGGAAATTCTGGGTTTTAACCCTATTTCGGGCCTTTCGGAGAGGGATCAAGTTTTTGAGCAAAATACAGAGCTTTAGAGAGAGAAAGTGTAAAGAACAAACCCTAGGAGCTATTTGGAGTGGATTTCTCACCATTGAAGCCCAGATTGCATCCCCAGGAGTGAAGATCGATATCCCAGAGCAGATTATCCTCATCTTTATGATCATGACTACTCTGATTTCTGTTTTCCTCTCTCTCTCTCTCTCTCTCTCTCTATGAAGTTGAACCTTCTCTCACTTGGGTATGAAGAACCCTAGTTCCATGTGTTAGGAAACTTGATTGTAATGACTTGGGATTGATATACCGATTGATTTTAATTGATTGATGCATGATTCATTGAGTCAATTGAAGCGTGATCATCTTTTCTTGATTTCTGCTGCAACCTGAGATAGATAGAATCTGATTAGGTTGTTAGAGCTTCATCAATCGGTAGTGGTAGATTAGTTATACGAGAGTTAATTGATTTACTGCTTTGTACTGGAATCTGATGACTTGATATTTACACATGTTTTTCTCCACCATTCCTGTACCGTTTGAGTCTCATCTCTAGTGTTTTAGGCCGATTTCACACTAGGTCGTTCTTGTTTGTGATATTTCAGGTCCTAGTACGTGAAGGAAGGTTTGGGCACGAGTTTGGGGTCAAATGGACGAAGTTGGAACGTTTGATGAAAAGCTGGAAATTCCACAAGGGCAGACCTAAATTCCACACGGCCGTGTGACTTGGCCGTGTGGAATCCCATTACACGACCAAGCCACACTGGCCGTGTATTGGACCCCTTGTGGCCGTGTGGAAAGTCCAGGGGGCTCACACGGCCAGACTGGAAATTCACACGGCCGTGTGCCTCGGGCCGTGCAGCGTTCCTAAAGTCCACTAATCGAAACGCGGCGTTTTCACATCCACACGGGCAGACCAGAAAGCCACACGGCCGTGTGGTCGGGAAATTCTGGGTTTTAACCCAATTTCGAGCCAAAGGAGTTGGAATAGACTTTTTAGAGCAAAAACAAAGTTTTAGAGAGCGAAAGTGCGAAGAACAAACCCTATGAGCTATTTGGAGTGGATTTCTCACCATTGAAGCCCAGATTGCATCCCTAGGAGTGAAGATCATCATCCCGGAGCAGATTATCCTCATCTTTATGAGTATGACTACTCTGATTACTGCTTTCCTCTCTCTCTCTCTCTCTTCTCTCTATGGAGTAGAACTTTCTCTCACTTGGGTATGAAGAACCCTAGTTCCATGTGTTAGGGATCTTGATTGTAATGACTTGGGATTGTTATATTGTTTGATTTTAATCGATTGATGCATGATTCAATTAGTAAATTGAAGTCTGATCATCTTTTCTTGATTTTTGCTGCGACCTGAGATAGATAGAATCTGATTAAGTTGTTAGAGCTTCATCAATCGGTAGTGGTAGATTGATTATACAAGAGTTAATCGATTTACTGCTTTGTACTGGAATCCAATTCCAGTAGTGGAGTTCTGCGTTGATAGCCTCAGCTTTCTATCTCGGTGAAGACTAGTTGTCTGCCGAGTTGTTGGACTGAGAGGGCTTGGTCAGTTTAAGAGATTCCAAGCTACCGTCGGATCTTCCCCAGTTTAATCAACAATTAATCAACCTAGGGTAAATACAACTGTGACCTAACTAAGGAGCTAGGGGGACTCATTCCCGAGTGACTCTTCCCTTGCTTTAGAAAACCAAACCATTTCCTGCTTTCTTACTGCTTTTAGTTAAAATCACAATCACTCGACTTAGTTTGCTAGATAATAGATATTCATGGAGTAGGCAGTAGATCTAGACCCCGGGTTGACAAATAGAGCTTGCCTCTTACTGCATTTCCGGACTGCGATTACACTTAATCGCAGTTTGGTGTTGTGTTTTAGCGTGTCAGAATCCAATTCCAGTAGTTGAGTTCTGTGTTCATTGCGTCAGCAGTCTATCTCGGTGAAGGCTAGTCGCCTGCCGGTTAGTCTGCTTGAGAGAGCTTGGTCAGCTTAAGAGATTCCAAGGTACTGTCGGATCTTCCGCAGTTTAATCAACAGTTAATCAACCCAGGGTAATTACAACCTTGACCTAACTAAGGAGCTAGGGGGACTCATTCCCGAGTGAGTCTTCTGATAGACCGTTAGTTACACATGTTTTCACCCCTGTTCTTACACCGTTTGAGATGTGGTTTCTCGTGTTTTAGACCGATTTCACGCTAGGTTGTGCTTGTTTGTGATATTTCAGGTCCTGGCAAGTGAATGAAGGTTTAGGAGCGAGTTCGGGGTCGATTGGGTGAAGATCTCGTGCGAGACAAGTCACAAGGGAGGTCATACGGGCTGCCCTGATGTTCGCACGGCCGTGTGAAGTAATGGCCTGGCCGTGCGAGTTTTGCCGAGAGTACACACGGGCAGAGCAGAGGATCGACACGGCCGTGCAAGTGGCCGGGTTGGCCGTGCCACATTCTGCGAGAGCAAACACGGGCATGAGGGGATGTCCACACGGCCGTGCCATTCTGGCCGTGCAAAGAGCCTGGAATTCGAACTAAATGAAATGATGCGTTTTGACTCACACGGGCAACTGGGTGAGCTGCACGGCCGTGCCACCCTGGCCGTGTGAGTCGGGATTTTCTCCTTTTAAGCAGAATTTCAGCCACAATTCGTGAGGATTCGGGTTTTGGAGAAAGAGAGCGATTTCTAGAGAGAGAAAGCGACGAACAAGAGTCTCCAAGTGCCCTAGATTGATCTTCAACACCATTGGAGGCCAGCTTGAGCTTGGAGAAGTGCCAATCAACGTCCAGAAGCAGGAATCCATCCTTCGCAGTATGAATTCCGTGTCTGATTCTGCTTTTGCTTTCTTCTCTATGGAGTAGTTCTCCCATTCATCTGGGTATGGAGAACCCTAGATTTGTATGTTAGGCTTTGATTGTATGAACCCAAGTACTGATTCTGTGATTGATTATATTCGATTGAGGTTTTAATGATTGAATGACTTGAATCCTGATCAAATTCCTGTTGTTTCCGCTTTAACCTAGAATGAGAATATATGCCTAGGTTAATAGAGTATCCTTGATTGAAGGTAGGGAGTTGGTGACTTTAGTCGAGGAGCCAACTCACTATTCTGTACCGGATTTACTCCTGTAGTGGAGGTTTTGTTCTTAGGGCCTCAATCTGTCTACTCCGGTGGAGGTTAGTCGCCCGCTAGAGATTCAGATTGAGAGGGTCTGAAGACCTTTATTCGAGACTTCAGGCTGTTTAAGAACCTTCCGCAGTATAACTATCATAGAAACTGAACTTGGTAATTACAATCCGGCTTAACTGCAGTCTAGGGGGAACCATATCCGGGTGACCTCTTTAACTTGAATACAACCAGTTTACTTGCTTCGTTAGTTTGTTAGTTAGACTTGCATTAAAGTTTCACTGCTAGATAACAAGAATTCACTGAGTAGTCATCAAATCTAGGACCCGGGTTGATAATTAAACCTAACCCGCTATACTACACTTTAGGAAGTGGTTTCACTTGGCCAATTCCTGGAGTGACAGTAGAGTCGAGTCAAGTTTTTGGCGCCGTTGCCGGGGACGGCTAGGTTGTTGAAGAAAAGTGATTTCTGTTAATTTAGCTTTTCTTTTTGCTTTGTTTGCTTTGTCCCACTTGTGCCTTCACGGGTTTGCTTGCTTGAGTGTGTGCAGGTAGTGCATGACCCGTAGCCAGTCAGGAGGTTTACTGCCGTTGAATCCAGAGATTGACCGCACCTGTCTCCAGCTCAGGAGACAACAGCGAGCTAGACTGGCTACGGAAGAGCGCATAGACGGCCACCTGAGTAGCGATTCTGAAGAAGAGCACGGGATGGACGGAGACTACAACCAACACCAGGGGAATCCACAGCAAGTTCCCCCGGTGAATCAGGTCCTGGGGAACAACCCCATACCCCAGGACCATGGAGTTCATCATCCCCCGCAGCCGGGCCCCACCTTGGAGTACTACTACACTCCGCGGATTGCTGACATCCGCCCGGTCATCCTCTACCCGCCTATTCCAGCAAACAATTTCGAGATCAAGCCATGCTGGATTCAGCTCATTACATCATCTATCTAGTTCCATGGCTTGAAGAATGAGGAGGCCAGGGTGCATCTTTCCCGTTTTCTGCAGCTGACGAACGGGTTCAAGCTGAATGGTGTCCCCGATGATGCGATCCGCCTTCATCTCTTCCCCCATTCTCTGGCGGGGAATGCTAAGAGGTGGTTGGAGACCCAGCCCCCATTGTCCATCACCTCTTGGGACGATCTGGCTGACAAGTTCGTGCACCGGTACTATCCGGCATCGAAGACTACAGAGATTCAGCGGGAGATCACTCACTTCCGCCAAGAGCCAGATGAGTCCCTTCATGATGCTTGGGAGCGGTACATGGGCTATTTCTGGCAGTGCCCCCATCATGGCTTCAGTGATGAATTCAAAGTGGGGAACTTCTACAGTGCCCTTTCGCCAGATAGCCAGAGGGTGATTGAGTCTCTATGCCCAGGAGGGGATATTCTTACCAAGACTCCACCCGAGCTGAACCAGATGATCAGTACTTTGGCTGCCAGAGATCATTCTTGGGGAAAGGGTAGCCGAGGCAGACAGTCCCGAGACCGTGGTGTGCACGCCATGGAGACCAGATCCGGGCTCGAGCAGTAGGTAGCTGAGCTAGTGCAGACATTGAAGCAGCCCAACAGTCTGATTTCGGGCAGAGGTTTGGCTACACCTCCAGTAGCTCAATGTCAGTGGTGCGAGAGCTCCAATCACCTAGTGGAGGACTGCCAGGCTATGAGGGAGTCTACCATACCCCAGGAGCAGTTGGCCTTCATCGCCAATGCGAGGCGCCTCGATCCATACAGCAGCACATATAATGAGGGGTGGCGCCAGCATCCCAACTTCGCCTGGAGCAGCAACACCACTAAACCACCTGGTTTCCCAGCACCAGCAGGTGGTTTTCAGCAGAGGCAGCCCTTCCAGGCTCGCCAGGGGCCAGACCCACAGCAGCCCTACCAGCCCAGGCAGGGGCAGCCATTCCAGCAGCTCCAGCGCTAGTTCGCCGAGCCAGCAACAGCTCCGGCCCCAGACGACATGATGACGAGGCTGGAAAACATTCTAGCTTCATTCATGACTAGCACCCAGGCTGCTATCACATCACTGGAGGCAGGTCAGCGGAACCAGGGTGCCATTTTGCAGGATCTGCAGACCCAGGTGGGCATCTTGGCCCGGCAAAACACTACCAGGGCACCGCGGACTCTGCCTGCCACCACTGTTCCTAATCCTCGAGATCCTCACCAGCATTAGCAGCTGGATGCCATTTTTACCAGGAGCGGTAAGACCATATCTGCTGATCCTGTCCCGGCCAAACAGGAGGAACCACTGCCTGCTCCAGCACTTCCAGCCGAGGATGCCGAAGTGCGGGTGGAGAAGGAAGCCCCTGCTCCCAAGCCACAACCAGTGGTTAAGGAGCATGTACCCCACCTTCCCTTCCCCACTCGCCTACACAAGGACAAGCTGGAGACTGAGTTTGCCAAGTTCATGGCAATGTTGAAGCAGCTCAACATCAGCATACCGTTCATGGAGGCCCTGTCGAAGATGCCCAAGTATGCCAAGTTCATGAAAGATATCTGCACCAACAAGAAGAAACTTGGGGATCTCTCGACAGTGATGCTGAGCGAGGAGTGTTCTGCTATCCTGCAGAACAAGCTGCCCGAGAAGCGCAAGGATCCAGGGAGTTTTACTATCCCTCTTACTATTGGCAGCATGCATGTAGGAAAGTCCTTGGCGGACCTAGGCGCTAGCATTAACGTCATGCCATATAAGTTGTATAAAATGCTAGACCTAGGTGAACTTAGCCCTACTAGGATGAGCATTCAATTAGCTGATCGTTCTATTGTGCATCCTAGGGGAATCATAGAGGATCTGCTTGTTGGTGTTGGTGCATTCACATATTCTGTTGATTTTGTTATTCTTGATATACATGAGGATGTGGATGTGCCCTTGATTCTAGGTAGGCCATTTCTTGCCACCGCCAAGGCACTAATTGATGTGCATGATGGTAAGTTGATCTTGCGTGCTGGGGGTGAACAGGCTACTTTTTCTGTGACTGAGTTTGATCACTGTGCTATGATTGCTGTCACGCCTGTGAATGCCATTTCTGATCAGGTACACGAGTCTGTCGTGTACCCTTCTGCACCTCCTATTTTGCAGGACCCTCCTATCATTCCTTCGCCGCCACTCCATCCAGCCTCTCCTCCGAACAAAAAGCTCAAGGAGGAGTGGCGGCCGAAGCAGCAGGTTGCTAAGCCTGCACGGAAGAAGAGTGGAGACCACTATGAGCTGGTCCCACCTCCTGCACCACGACCACCCTGGCCGTCTGGGTACTCACTCGCCTGCATCTTACCAGATGGGCAGGTCGAGCTGACTGATGATGGTGGTCGCATCCGTCGGGTGCATGGCCACAACCTGAAGCTGTACCTCAAGAGCGATGTGGATCCGCTCTTGGAGGCACCTGTTCCTGCACCGCCCTGAGTATCCGCCATGGGCGTCCAGCTAATACGACGGTAAAGAAGCGCTTGTGGGGAGGCAACCCCACCACGGTTTGATTTTCTTTCTTGTGTTTTGAGTCGGATTGTAACCCGGTTTGGGTTTGGTTTGTTTTCTTTTGGTTTGGATGATATTTTATTGGGCTGACCATTGAACCTAACATATTGTGTATGAGCTCTTCTGTTTCCCTTCGGCTGTGCTTGCCCCGACTAGCCCGTTTCCAGTCTCCTGCAGTCCATGCATACCGGTAACATCGTTTCCCTTATCCTTCCCTCTTCTCCATTGAGGGCAATGTCGATCTTAAGTGTGGGGGGATGTTTATCTTTTGACTGCATTAGATCTGTTTGTGTGCTTGGAGCCTAGTCCACTGTCCAAATTTTTAAATTTGAGGGCTCCAAGTACGTGTTTCCTTGCAATTGCCTGCTCAGTATGCTTTGAATTGACAGTCTTTATAGTAATATGCAACCTAGGGAGGTAGTGTAGCACTATGGAGGATGTTGATGCATTTAAGAAGTCTCATTTCTTCTTCATATTGTGTTGGTTGATTGAGTGAATTAGTGATCTTAGGACTCTTGAATTGTGTGGTGTTGTGGATTCTCTGCCTGTCATGGACTCTTGTATCATGTTTTGAGTTTAACAGGTGCTCGAAAATGTGCTTCAAATAACGTCTCCCGTGCGAATAGGGCGAAAGTGTGTAAGGGGAGACGGGAATTCGTTCCCAATTTCCACCTACTACCTCCAGCCCCCTTACATGTCTTTCCCCCGCACGAGGCTCGAGACATCCGCTCCTGGCATGGCCGGTAAGAGCAGGTTGGGACCCTTGAAAAGAAAAGAAAAGAAAAATAACAGAAAACAAGCAAAACAGAAAAGAAAAGGGGTCTCAACCATCTTCAAGAAGAAAATAGAGCACCTTGAAAAATGTGAGTCCATGATCCTTTGTTTTTGAGAATCTCTTCATCCACAATTCATTTGTCCTCTGTTCACTGTTTGCCATGATGCCGACTCGATAAGAAGCTTTGAGATGACTTGTGCGTCGGTTGACCTCGTAAGCTGCTAAATGATCTAGGAAGTCCTCTACCTACGATCTGGGTTGTTTGTTGCCATAGAGGTCTGGAGAGTTGCATTGTTTTGAGTTAGGTTTGCTTGGGGACAAGCAAACGGTTAAGTGTGGGGGAGTTTGATAGACCGTTAGTTACACATGTTTTCACCCCTGTTCTTACACCGTTTGAGATGTGGTTTCTCGTGTTTTAGACCGATTTCACGCTAGGTTGTGCTTGTTTGTGATATTTCAGGTCCTGGCAAGTGAATGAAGGTTTAGGAGCGAGTTCGGGGTCGATTGGGTGAAGATCGGGCGCGAGACAAGTCACAAGGGAGGTCATACGGGCTGCCCTGATGTTCGCACGGCCGTGTGAAGTAATGGCCTGGCCGTGCGAGTTTTGCCGAGAGCACACACGGGCAGAGCAGAGGATCGACACGGCCGTGCAATTGGCCGGGTTGGCCGTGCCACATTCTGCGAGAGCAAACACGGGCAAGAGGGGATGTCCACACGGCCGTGCCATTCTGGCCGTGCAAAGAGCCTGGAATTTGAACTAAATGAAACGATGCGTTTTGACTCACACGGGCAACTGGGTGAGCTGCACGGCCGTGCCACCCTGGCCGTGT